AGTGCTATCAAAGAATCTAATAGACATAAATTGAATAATAGAATCAGAGAATGGCTTGGGCTGGAAGGGACCATCACATCCCAACTCCCATGCCACAGGCAAGGTTGCCAGCTGCTAGATCATATATTAGATCAGATTGCCCATCCATTCTAGCCTTAAACACCTCTAGGGATGAGGCATCCACAACCTCAGGCTGATCAAGTCCAGTTCCTTCAGCCTGTCATCATAGGAGTGGTGCTCTAGCCCTTGGATCATCTTTGTGGCCCTCCCCTGGACCCTCTCCACAACCTCCACATCTTTCCTGTATTGTGGCCCCAGACTTTTATGCAGTACTCAAGATGGAGCCTCATGAGGGCAGAACAGAGGGTGGCAATCACCTCCCTCAGCCTACTGGTCACTCCTTCTCTTACGGAGCCTAGGATACCACTGGCCTTCCAGGAGAAGGAGAGCAAACAATGAGAGGGCTGTGGGGAGACTGAGCAGGAGAAAAGGTCACAAATGGAAAGTGGGAGCAAAAAAAAGTGTGTATGTATATGGCTGACATTAAAAAATAAGGGAATAATCCCTGCATCATTCTCTAACTTAATGTTCATTTTGAATTAGGTTTACTGTGAAAATATAACAAAAATATCCTTGAATTTGCCAAGTAATACATTTCCATTCCTAGCATTTCACTCTCACCATACTGATGTGTCACAACACCTTGTGATGTTCTCAGATGTTGGCTGCTGGTGAAGGAAATAGTGTCCGTGGGGCTGTATTATCCTTAGCTGCAAAAGCACAGTTCCACTGGCAGCTTCATGGGTACATGAGGAGTATATGGAGTACTGTGTACCTCATTGAGCACACACAAACAGAAGGTATTAATTTAGTATAATTGAATTTTCACCTTAACACATTCCTCAGGTTATTTAAAAACAACTGCAAAAGATGTAGAAATCCCAATAATATCTTAAGAGCAGGCAATCTATAATAATAATAATGAAACAGTATGTCTTACAGGGAACACAGGTATGTAAGATATTTATTGTATGCATTTATATCAACCCTGTAGGTGTATTCATAGTAAAGTGTTCAAAATTGTTGTATAATAACTATATTGTGGACTAAATTACTAAATAACTTCTGTAATTTTAGGTTAAGCCTAGATGTAAACATCAAGAAAGTTTCTGAGTTAGCTTCTTGAAGTGTTTTCCATAGTGCAAGTTGGGTTAAGCCACAGTAAAAAATGCAAAGTAACAAACACATTTTTTTTACTTAATTTTATTTTACAAATTCATCACCTATAAAACATTTAAAACTGGGTGTATATAAAAGCATAACTTCCTGCAATGAGATTCACTTTAATAAAAATTGGAAAAGTAATGGAGTAAGTAATAATGATCTTAAAGTTACATTTAACAAAGTAGCCTTGTTACTGAATAAGTAAGCTCAGAAGTAGCACCTTCTTTCCAAACAGTTTTCTGGGGCCAAATCAGCTGATTGGAGTGTTCTGTCACTCTTAAATACTAAATTATCCTTGATGATCGGAAACACATTGAATATTATCATGAATAAGTTATAATTTTCAGAAGCATGGTCAGAATGGTGATTTTTCTACCCAAAATAATTACATGTTGAATAATTTTTAGTGCAAGTTGTGCAAGTTGTGTCTCAGTGCAAGTTATTTTTCATTGTCAACAGTCTTTGATTTGATAAGCTGCTTTCTTGGGTCTACATGCAGAAATGACAAGCAAGCAGAATGCAGCCAGTAGTACTGAGGCACTTTAACTGTGCTAATAGAAGTAATCCTGTACATCTGCACAATGGGCTGTGCTTCAGGAGGGGATTGCTACATTGGCTTACTGAACATATTTTAATAACAATTTCTTTGTGAAGTTCTTTAACATAAATATAAATGCAGCTGAAGGGTACTTATAATCAGTCACTGTTCTTTCATTCAGAAGTGGTTCGCCGCCAGGATATAAATTAAAATTTAAGACCAACTTTCCCTAGAGTCATCACTCATTTAGGAAGTGCTTTCTTTTCAAGAGCCCAGCTATCCATCAGTGCTACTTTTATGGCCTCACAGCTCTTGGAGTATTATATCCCTCCAATTCTTCAGTGTAACTCTGTCTTTTCTAGAGTCATGTGAACACAGCAACTGAAGAAATGTGGTGAAACGGAAATTTAACCGTGATTTTCAAAGTTGTTGTGTAGCCACAGACACCTCATGAACATCTTATGAGACACCTTATGAACTGTTTGTGATCTGTAAAGGAAACCTGCTTTGTATGGCTCTCCTTAGCCAGAGCTTGAGGGAGGATAAAAGCTGTCTTTCTTGAAACACATGTAAGCAAGACCCAGAAAGCATCCTCTCTCTCACAGTGTGTTACAGGAGAGTACAAGCTAGCAAACTGGAACAATAAGCTCATTAAATAAGTTGTCTTTTCTTCTGTTTCACCTGGCCAAACAAAATATGTACATTTATAAACAAATTTCTTGCCTGCCTTCCCTTCCTGCTCCTCCCTTGCAGTATCAAGCATCTCTCTGGTTTTGCTCTCTGCTCCACATGCTTTCGGTATCTCTCAGAGCTTAATGATTGTGCATGGTAATTCACAGGTGACAAGGAGTGTTTGTTTACATCACCTCTGAAGTTTATCTCTGCATCTGTCCCTTGATGCAAGCAACTCCAGTATTTCTTGTCAGTATCCCAGTTCACACTTGTGGGAGACTGTAGGGGACTGGAGCACTTCCCCTGTGAAGACAGGCTGAGGGAGCTGAGCTTGTTCAACCTGGAGGAAAGAAGGCTGTGGGGTGACCTCATTGCAGCCTTTCAGTACCTAAAGGGAGCCTACAAGCAGGAGGGGAATCAACTCTTTGAAAGGGTAGATAACTGCAGGACAAGGAGAAATGGTTTTAAGTTGAGGGAGGGAAGATTTAGGTTGGATGTCAGGGGAAAGTTCTTTACTATGAGAGTGGTGAGGTGCTGGAACAGGCTGCCCAGAGAGGCTGTGGTTGCCCTATCCCTAGAGGTGTTCAAGGCCAGATTGGATGAGGCCCTGGGCAGCCTGGTCTAGAATTAAATGTGGAGGTTGGTGGCTCTGTCTATGGCAGGGAGGTTGGAGATTCATGATCCTTGAGGTCCCTTCCAACCCAGGCCATTCTGTGATTCTGTGATTGTGCCCCAAGTTTCCTCTCAATCGATCTCTTGGTTTCCTCTCTCAGCATATTGTTGTCCATGCTTCCCTTTAGAGGGCAGTAGCAAGAATGAAGAAAGGACACATATAGCCTACGGTTTTGGTCTCCTTTGCTGTCTCTGTTTTTACAGAAGGTATCTCTGGAGGGCTGACTCTTGACTGTCTGCCAGACTCCATCCAGCCACTCTTCCCTGCTTCAACAGAACTTGGAATCACAGAATCTCTCGAGTTGAAAGGGACACTTAGAGGTCATCTAGTCCATCTCCTCTGCAATGAACAGGGACACTGACAGCTAGATCAGGTTGCTCAGAGCCTCGTCCAGCCTGACCTTGAAAATGTAGTGAGAAAATAAGATGGAAGAGCTCATGGATCGAGATAAAGACAGGGAGATTGCTTACCAATTACTGTCATGCACAAACCAGACTTGGGAAAGTCATGTCATTTATTTTCAGTTAAATGGATGAGCGCTCCCTTGCCCCAGGCTTTGCTTCACTTCTTCATTTCCAGCCCCTCCACCTCTTTCTCCACAGCCACGCAGGAGGATGTGGAATGAAGCTTATGATCAGAAAACAGCAGTTTGTCTGCGCTGCTCCTTCTAACTCACACTTTCCTCTGGCTCGAGCATGCCTCTTCCTTGGGCTGCAGTCCTTTAGGATGAACCTGCTTAATGTGGCTTGTAGTTCTTGTCATAAGAGCTTGCTCCAGCATAGGCTCTTCCTGAGCTTCTCCATTTAGGAAATACTCCCTCCACAGACTGCAGTATGGGTATCTGCTCCACAGGGGTTCTTCCCACAGGCTGCAGGGGAATCTCCACTCTGACATGTGGAGCACCTCCTTCCCTTCCTTCTTGCCTGGCTCTGATGTTCACAGGGCTGTTACTCGCTTTATTCTTCACTGCCTGTGCTGTGTTTTTGCCCTTTCACAAATAGCCTTGCCCTGAGGCACCACCATCTTGGCTGCCAGGCTCAACCGCGTGCTGCAGTGAGGCCAGCATGGGGCAGCCCTGGTCTTGCCTCACAAACACAGCTCCTCACTGCCTGCACCTTAACACCCACTGCATTACTGCATTACCATACAGTATGAATGCTGTAAACTGTGGATGGACAAAATAGTCCTGCAGTGAGTGTTTGGATGTTCTTAAGACTTGAGAGCACATGACCTTTCCAAAAAGTCTTACTGGAAGGAAGAAGCTCAGTTACCCAGCATTAGTCACCTGAAAGTTAGTCGTCTGTGCAAGGTTATTTGTAGATGCTTTGACACATTACATATAGGGAAGGCACCTTCAGAAGTTGACACTGGCATTGAATCAAGTCAGAAAACAGGATGCCTGGCCTATTTTAGATGCCTAGCTGTGAACTGACTGGAGTGACACGGATCTCCACCCGGTGTCTCAGAACAGGCAGTCAAAAACAAAGGATAACTCTTGAAATTTAGCTGTGAAGTTTGCTCTCATGTGTGATGTACAGAGCACAAGCAAATGCGCTGCGTTCTCTTCACTTTTTGAAGACATCCAGAACTGAGGATGAACTGAGTTTTTGACAAACACTGTGTATGTATAATCATCTGTTTTCAGTGGATCAGGTCCACAGAATGCATTCCTATAGCTTGTATGCGTTCAGACATTTGCATGCCATTGGAAACGTTTGTGTTTATCTGTAGTACTGCTGGATTATTTTGCAAATTTGTCATCTGATTTGTGAAGCTTCAAGCAAAATGTGCCATGCAGCCTAAGTGGATGGATGTGTTGTACACCCTAATGTTGTTCTGGGACAAGATTAATTTCAGCATGCTCATATTAATCCATTATATGTCTCTTTCCAGCACAAATGGACCCCCGAGGCCTATCTCCCAGACAAATTAAAAGTGACAGTGATGATGACGACCTGCCAAATGTGACCTTAGATAGCGTTAATGAAACTGGATCTACAGCGCTCTCCATAGCCAGAGCAGTACAAGAGTAAGTATCACCTTCTCAGAGTGAGACAAGTATTGCCAAGGTGTGCCCTGGCTGATGGAGGCACCGGTCATCAGCAGCCCTGCAGAGGTGTCCCTCAGCTTTGAACCGGCCTACCTGCTAGCAGCTTTGCTGTTTAGCTTCATTCCCTGTAGGAAGAGATAGCTACCTCTCTCTGCTCTTTCTGATTCATTTTCATTTCTTTCCTCCCTAATTACTAGGTAAAGTTTCAGATCAAGATTATTCTCCATTATTTGCTTACAGAACTTGTATTTATATTTACTCCAAAGGGATAGCAGTTTAGACTTCCATTGAAAAAAAAAGAAAAAAAAAGACAGTTCTTACTGATTGAAAGCAGCATCAGGAAGTTTCTTCTAGTTGCTGTCAAACAGAAATCACCCACATTTCTCATGAAGAATGGAATAATTGAAAGGAAATTAGTGATGGGCTTTGAACATTTTTTCTACAACTGCTCTTTTTCTTTGTACTTTTACTTTCTGTATGGACAAAATATATTCCTGATTTAATTTCTTTATTGCTTTTTCAAAAAAAAGAGAAAGTTTATCACAAGCATTAGTGATTCTGCAAGCACATAAGCTTGCTCAGTCACTGTAGCAGCTGGAAGGGAACCAACTGTGAGGTAAATAAGTATTAATATCCCCATTTTATAGGTGAGGAAAATGAGGCTATGTGTAAAGGTCACCCTGTAAGTCTGAAGCAGAGCTGGAAATAGAACTAGAGCCTCCAGGCACTGAAGCCTTGTGCTGGCCCTACAAAACATGTTACTCCATCCAAGAGGTTCAAACTATGGGCATTCTGGACATTATTAAATAGGAAGGGATATAATAAAGGCTGCGAGACATTGCTGTTATATAATTAATTATAAATGCATTTTAAATGTGTTAATATATAAAAGTACTTGCATTCTCTTTTCTTTCCTGGCTATCAGTAGCCAAAAATGCTGATGTTCCCAAAGTAGTAATCTATATGCTGAGAGAAAACTGTTGTGTTTGGGGGAGGACTGCTTTTTTTGCACTGTTAAGGCAGTTGGGACATGAATTTTCTTCCTGAGGTGTTCCTTACATCACCCCCTTCCCACCGTAACTCAACATTCCGCGCTGAGGTGCAGGAAGGAAGATGTGTTGTGCAGGAGAGGGCTGGCAGTAATGATTCTCCAGTGCAGACTTAGCAGGTACTGGGAGCTTGTAAGAGCATCCAGCCATGCTGCCTCTCAGAAACAGTCTACCTGTCCCGACTTGGGAAGACTTTGATCAGACACCTGCTAACTCATCTTTGGGTCAAGCACTGAAATTGTGATCCTCAAATCTGTATTCCCCCTGAGCAGGCAGGGTGTATGTTCTGGCCAAGGCAGGGTGCTGGCTCTCACTGTAATTAGCATGACAGTGATAAGGGAAGGAAACAGTTCTTCACAAGTGCTGCTGCTGGTTGACTGACAGGCCTCACACATATTTTAAATTTGCTAGTTACAGCACCCAATCCTGAAGTGCCAAGTATTTTTTTTCTCAGTTTATAGCACACATAATAAGCCAGAAAAATAATATGACCCATCATGATTTTGCTTTAAATAGTTTTGCCTAATTAAAGAAAAGAGAAGAAGGCATGGAGAGCTAGTGAATACTTTTAATATATGAGTGGCAGGAGGATGCTGCTTTATGTGCTTGATATTGCTGGAACACTTAGAGAATCGGTCAAACCATGAAAAGCTTTTTTAGAATAATTCATTCCACAATTTATGAAGGAAAATGTGTTGAATATTACTTGGCTGGCTCTGGAGCTTAAGAATTAAATTAAGAAATTTAATAATACAACATCAACTCATCCTTGTTCCAGGTTTTATTTAAACAATAATCTGTTAGTTTATTTCAAAAGCTCCATTAGGAAAATTTAATTTGACTGTGATCTGCAATTTATCTTATTTTTTACTTCATTCTCAGTTGCAGACACTATACATACAGCTGCTAAGCTGAAGAAAAAGATGTTAGCACATTATACTGACTACATTCCATTCATTTCTTCCTGGGTCTATAATACATTGCCTCACGGGCAGGCTCTATTCTGTAATTTTGTCATCTAGCCTGTACCTTAATTTTAGATGTCTAGCAAAGCAATTCACTGAAATTAAAAGCCTGCATTCTGTGTCCCATTGTTGCAGAGAGGAAAGTGCCTTTGAAGCCTTTCAAAGGGAGATCCTCTGCACTCAATTTAGTATCTAAACTTAGCAGACAGGAATTTCCTCTGAAGACGTGGACAGGCACCTCCTGTCCCCTGAGTAACTGGGCAGCGTAGGTGCATGCAAAAAACGAGTGTTTCAGGTGAATCTAAGCTAAGTGTTGAGTTGTAGTAGATTCACCTCAGAGTCTAGAAGATTCTCCTATAGCAAGCGAACTTAAGGTGTATTTAAATGCTTTCTTGTGAATAGTTATATGGCTGACAACAAATAATTTACTGGTGAGAGTATTCTCTTCATGGACGATACTGGCAAATGCAGCATGGCTGCCTCCAAAGGGATGTCAGTATCCTGTTCTTCAGCATTGGTTGCTGTTGTCCTTGTTTAACAAAATGCCAAGCCTAGTTTGTGTATGCTAGTGGCAGGTGCCAGACAGCATTTGACCTTTTTCTGATTGGGTTTCATACATTTTTTAAATTATCCTTCATAAGGATTATAAATACACGTCTATGTAATATATGTTTGCCTGTTGGCCCTTATCCTCCAATTGCCTAATTAGACATCTGCAACACAGACATCTGCATCCAGGCTCATTATCTGGCCTCCCAGCATATGGAGCAGATAGCAGGAGATGTGCCCAGCTGGTAATTCTTTTGACCAATGCTAGTTGTCTAATTTAGGGAGAAAGAGAACCATGTAATTTAGGGAGGCCATACACACAGCTGTCTAGAGCGTGCACATTGGCCCTGCAGGACTCCATACCAGGTGAGGGTAAGTCAACCCATGGCTGGACCTGAGGGTCAGTATGCCACCAAGTGGGAGTTGGTGCTGCGTGTATCAACATCTTCCCTTGGGTCTAAACCAGCTAAGTTGGATGAGTAACACCAAGGATTAGCCATGAGCTGGAGAAAATCAGTCTGTGTCTGAGGAGGAATGATATTAATATAACCATTTTTAAGCTTGTTGCCTTGGAAATTCCCCTTATGTGGGTAGTTCACAGGATAGCTTGGAATGCCTGTATGACAGCTTTGCTTTTCATATAATGTAAAACTGAAGGCATCCTCCTGTGTTTCTGCTTTGTTTCAGGTCCATTATAGTCTAAGTAGGAAAAAATTATTACCAGAAAAATTCTGACAGTTAGGTGCTAAGAACCACGTGTTCTTATTTACTTAAACAGAAATGTAATTTGGTTGCATATTTATAAAATAACCAAGTATGACTATTTTTTCTCAGGGAAATTGCCCTCTTGCTGCTAGCATTGTATTGGCAGAGCTTGCAGGCTTCTCATTAGTTGGTTTGGAATGACTTTGTATCCTACTTCAGCTCAGCAAACCCAATCAATAATGTAAAGTTACAGAGAAACAAAGTCATTATTTCAAGCAAAGCACTTGGGTGAAATTTCTTTATGTGAGAGTGCTGCTTCATGGCAGTTCCTGTGCCTTACCATATCTTAGATTAAGAATAATTTATTAATCTTAGATAATCTGTTCTGTCTGGTAATAAATATTGCCTCAATATGTAGATTTCAGTGAGCTTTCCACTGTAAGCAGCGTTTCATCCTTTTTCTAGCATGTTTTACAAACTCATTCTGATATGTAGCTCTCTAACAAAGGGCAGATTTGCTTCTATATGCCTGACACCACTGGGTGCTTATTACACAGCAGCAGCATCGTATATTCAGGGTCAAATCTCAGACACACTCCAGAAATCTTTATGAAGGCAAGGAAAGAGAAAGCATTAGTCAAGCCCTAGAAGACCAGTAAATTGTTGTAAGGTGCACCTTAGAGGTTGTTACCTCAGCCCAGGAGCCCTCCCACCCCTGGGTAGCTGTGATGCAGTGGGTCTCAGGAGCCACCCCATGGCGCATAGCAGTGCTAAACTTGATCAGGGCTTTCATCTCTTTCTTGTCCTGCATGCTTGCACCACATAACTCCAGTATCTTAAAACATGCAGCTCTCTCCCTGCAAAAAACACGTGCCAAATCATCTCCCCCTGCATGCAGAGACCAAGGGCAGGAGTTGGAGGGACAGAGGGCGAGTTGTAATGTGAACTTACGATAAGTGTATTGGTTAAAAACAAAAAAAAATCTAGACATTCCTTTCTGTCTCTATTTACTTTCTTTCCTCACTGTGAGATGTAGGTGGATAAAACCTTTTTTTTGTTCCTTTAGATAATATCAGAGAGAAAATGTACTGTGCATGTAAACTGATGTTGCTGCTTAAGGTAGCTTCCTGTTTCTCTAGAGTGACTGAGAGACAGAAAATTCAGAAGGGAAGTCCTGAATACTGGTAGTTATAGCTGCAGTTACCTCATAGGAATGTTATTTGTTATCTGGATGTGACCATGTGAACTCTTTTTGTGCTGCGCTGGATGCTGCTAAGTGCTTGTTTGAAAATGAGACTGGGGGCTTTGGTCCTGCTGCCCCTTCTCTTTGGCTATATTATGAGATTGATATATTAATGCTTATGTGATCATCTTTATTTTTAAATCCTGTTGGAAGATAGTTTTGGATACTGCAGTAGTGAAAAGCTAAGTCCCCAGCAGGTAGATAGCACAGCCATGGTACCAGTGTACTCTTAAGATGGTATGTAGTTTTCACTTCTGATTTGTTTCTCCTCATATTTCTTCTTCCCACAGTCCTGTGGTTGATTTTTTTTATCTCTCACAGGTTTTATAAGTGCTGTTCCCATCAACCATTCATTTTCTAGACTGATAATGTCTGTTTTCCTGTTTCAGCTGCAATCATTACTACTGTTGTGCTATTCATTATAGGGAACTTTCACCTCAGTTTTTTCCTCTAGTTACAAACAAGATA